CTCAAAGTTATACAAATTCAACTTATGCACCCTCGATAACAACATCAACTGGCAAACCTAACTCAACTCAAAGTTATACAAATTCATCTTCTGCAGCCTCGATAACAACATCAACTGGCAGAACTAATTCAACTCAAAGTTATAAAAATTCATCTTATTCAACCTCGATAATAACATCAACTGGCATAACTAATTCAACTCAAAGTTATACAAAATCATCTTATACAGCTTCAATGACAACATCAACTGGTACAACATTAAATGTTTCATTATCAATTATTAATTTTATCGCATTCTTTATCGTATTTATGCATATGATAATTATTAACTAAAAGTTTAATTCATATTGACTGATATAAACATGCTTTACTGCTTATGTTCGTATAGTTGAAAGCTTTCAATAGAATTATCTTCTCATTTATTCAATAAAATACGTCAATGATTTTATTTTTATTAAAAAAATACAGCAGAGTTTTTGACATCTTCGATAAGGTCATTTTCAGTGCTAATGTTTATAAAAGAAATTTTTTACATATATAAGAAGAAAACAATTAATACTTTTTTCTATTCTTTTCTAGTATTTTCTTAAAAACTGCACTACAAAGAAGCGAACCAACGGCATCATAATGTAACACTTAAGAAAATATAAGAAAAGAATACAAAAAGAAGTCGGTTATTTTCTTCATATATATATATAAATTTCAAACTATGTCATTCTCTATTGTAGAATTGCATTAGTAATATTAACTATTCGTTGAAGATATAGAGAATGTATTACATAACTTCATGTTTCGATCTGAATAGAAAGAAAGACAAACTATTTATATATGAATAACAGATTGTCCAACAGTCGATTTTAAAATTAGCGCCCGCTATTATCGTATGTTCAAAAGACTTTACTAGTACTTAAATTACAAAAATATAATTCATTGGTACTTTTCATAGCATCCTGAGATATAAAATGGATAGATTTTTTAATTGAGCATCAAAGTCAATTATGAAAATGATACGTTTCTGCATATGTTGTTTTATACTGTCTAATTGATTTATTCGATTTGAAATTTTTCGAAGAAAAAAAATGATATACTATCATTTGACTTGTAGTATTCAATTAACTTTTCTCATTTATTTTTTCACAATTTTTTTATAAAATATGTGTCATTGTTAAATAAAATAACAAATAAAAATATATATATATATTAATGAAATAATTTTTCTATTTAATCGTTTGAGCACTTATTCTAATCATTTTCATATTGAACATAAAAATGTTTATTAAACTAGGCAAATATGTATAACAACTTTGAAAGCTATCAAGATAAATTACATGTCCTAGTTCTCGATCAAGCAATATTGTTTTAACAAAATGAAGTTATTATTATAGTAGATCGCTATGAAAATAAACTATCTACAGTATTGATTATGTGAAAACTTAGACACTGACATCTGAGAACATGAATAACGTTCAATATCAAAATATATTGTCAATCAGTTCTTTAGAATGCATAATACTTTGATTAGATTTATTAGTTTATGAATGTTAGTTTCGAAATAAGTAAAAATATTTTTTGGTTTTATGATGTCGTTATAGATGAATAGGTGAAAACTATGCATCAGTATCATTAATGATGTATGCAATTGTGATAGTTATTTAACATAATGGATGTACTCTACAGAAATATGATTTTAGATTGTGTTTCTATAAAACAAGTACTTGACATAATACTTTCTTCTAATATTATCTCATATTTCAATACAGGAAAGATATTTGACCACGTTCACTTCCATAGTTGTAAAGTTCTCGATTCATTTTTCTCAGTTCGATCTTATAAACTACCATTATAGATTTATGAGCAAATATTTAACCAAAAATATTCCTATCTTCTAAAGAGTTCTGTTCTAAAACCGGAAATATTTTCATAATAACCTAACATCTTATTAAAATACGTTTGTTCGAGTATGAATCTGAACAATTAAGATCTAGTTCCTGTTTAATTACTTTCAGTTTGTTCATTAAAAAGAAGTAGTAAGTCCAAGGTAAGGATGCCATGGTTGATTACCCAGATAATAAAAAAATGAAGAGAATTACATTAAAATAATGAAACGGACATTCTTTTTTTTTGATGTACTTAATTTTTATTAATTAAAACACAACGTTACGTCATCAGACATATCATTTTTTTAATATTTAAAACGAAAGTCTATACAATTTAAACTGAATTTCTAAATAAATCTCTCTAGTTGTTAATAATATTCGATTCGACTAATAAACAATGATTTCAATGCAACATGAACATAATGACATAAAGAAGGTACACGAGACAAGCACGCGTATGAAATATGATATGGAACACAATTTTGATTTCAATCTATTGATTGAATAGTAAAAATAAGTGCAATACCAAGTTTATGGTGATATAAAACGGCAAATTTTAATACGTATGTCGAGAAAGTCAGACTCAATGCTATGCTTTGTACTGTATTAAATGTAGATTAATTTTATTCTAACAAGGTCGATTTTTAGTAACATCTCGATATAAAAATCCTGACTATAGACATTTGTTTTAAAATGTACGAAAAAAGAAACTAATGAGCTTTGATATTGATTATTGTTTTCATGACATACTATACGCTTTAGATGTCAACTCTTTTTTGTAGACATAAAGAAATGGATACCTTTTTTTTTTTTTGTATAAAATCTCAGTGACGTAAGTCATTTTTAATCTGAGATGCTCAATTTTATGTACTATTCTATTTGAATATAATCATCAATAAATAATTACTAGTTCCATTTCTTTTTCTTTCTCTTTCTGAATGTTAGTATGTGTGTGTGTGTGTGTGTGTGTGCGACAGTTTGCGACATTGGATAAAGACAAGAAGAGCGACGCTCTTTTTTTTTTCCTTATTAAACTATTACGTAAGAGAAAAGAAAAAAAAAGTAGTATGTGTAAAATGAAAGGTGCCACTCTTGTGTCACAGCTGAAAACATGCTGAGTATCATGGGGTCGTGTTTGGTCACAAGGTCAGTATTATCGAAAGGTGATTGCATATATATTAATTCAGTCAGTTTCTCATCGTAGAAGAAAGGAAGGTTTATTATGAATCTTATATTGATGAACTCAATGTCAGACAGTGAACGTATTTGATTGAAATAAAATAATATTGACGTGATGATTTTTTCTGCTTAGTTGATTATTGTTTAAACTAAAAGATAAATTGAATGGAATTTATTATATTTTTGTTATCTAGGTATGTCTTTATTCAATAATTTATTTATATGAAACGTGATCTTTTGTTGTACATATGGGTTTATTGAAGTAAAAAACATCATTGAATGAGGTAAAAGTCATAATTTCTTAATACTAAAGAATTCGAGAAACAAATATCATTGATCTTTTTTTTCGATCTATACCCAATAGAAAAAATATAGATTTTTTTATCTTTATAATTTACTAGATGTTTCCTTCTGCGTGACATAGATCATATATATTTCATTAAAAAATGTCCTTGCTATGTAAAACTAATTGCTATAATAATTGTCACTTTTTTGTCATAGAGGGATAAGCTTTTAAAAGTTTGACAGATAGATAGACATGCCTCAATAGTTCAGTAGTTTGAACTTTTATAATATTGTAGTTTAAAGAGTAACAATTTTGATACATCCCGGTAAGTAAAAGAATAATTATCAGATTGAAATTGATCTCCTTTTTTTACGTGCGAGCTAATAAATTTGAAGAGTTTTAAAAAATAATCCACTGAAGAGACGAGACAAAATTTATTAACGAGATTTTTGTGTGTAGACTTAATGTAATAATTATTTTTTGTAGCTTACAATTTTCAATGCAGACAACAGCTTTTACAAATCGTACTCGTAAACGATATCATCGTTTTTTACGTTTATTTCAACGAAAAAAACCATCAATAATTACTTTAACTTATTCATATGAGAATTTGATGCGTTTTCGTAAGTTTCATTGATTTTGTATTTTTTATAACATAGATATCATTATTTTAGCACGACTACCTATTACAGTCCCACCACTTGTTCCGACATTAATGTCATATCGATGGTATGTTGCTTCAGATTATATATTTTTTTTCTCTCTCGTGGAATGTTTGTATTTGGGCGTTTGGACTAAACTATCCTAGATATTGTTGACGTAAAGCTTGTGAATAGAATAAATGACATTGTATTTAAAATGAGAGAAAGAGAGAGAGAGAGAAAAAGCAAGAGTGAGATTATAGCTCGAAAAGAAGGATTAAATCCATGCGTGTGCGATCGAACCAACGAACGAGCAATCGTTTAAGCACGTTCAGAAAATGCAAACAGTCATTCGACTACCGATTAATTGACACGCATCTCTTTAACGCCTTTTTGTGTTGTAAACATCTTTCTTTCTTTCTTTCTTTTGTTTCTTGTATGAATGTACAATCACTATTGATAGTAGTGTCAAGGCAAGTAAGAAAACGAGAATAAAAAGAAAGGTGAGACAGACGCGCGTTGCCATTATTATATGTGTATATGTCTCGTATTTGAACATGTTCATTCTGCTTCATTCAACATCATTTATTATAATTCTCAAATTTCAAATTGAATATCATCAGACAAACAACAACGATAAATACTCAGTTTTTATTACTAATATGTGGTTTTTCTCACGTTGTATAAGCATCGATTCTTTAAATACATGTTTTCAACAACAAAAAAATAAAACGAGTTATGATTTTTGTTTATGTACTGGAGGATCTGGTGTTTTAGCTAAAAGGTGAGAAATATTCATATTTTAAACTAAATTAATTCATCGAAGTTATTCGTACGCAGCATATGTACAGAAATAAAGTTTATTTGATACGTTCCATACCGTTTTTGAGAAATTTGTTATGGATGAAGAGTACATGTGGAGTTGTTGAAGGAAATGAACCTTATTAGTAGAAGGTTCATTCAACATGTATCTCATTGTCATGTGCGTAATGTACAATTTATTAAATCCTTTCATACTCTTCATCTTACATAAGCTGAATAGAGAAGGAAACGAACGGTTGATTAAAGATGAGATGATTAGTGAGAATTATTACATACATATTTCCTTCCTGTTCAATACTCTTGTCATTTCCGATTTACACTATCTGTTATAGACATAATCAGCATCTATTCTATATTAAATAATGAAATTTAAAAAGAAAATATCAAACTGATATATAAATCTTCAAAGTATATGTATTTAGTTTCGGACAAGACGTCAAACAATCATTTTACGTTATCAATTCGATAAAATATGTTGAAAAATTCATCTATAAGTGTTTTCTGTTATTTCGTAAAAATCACTTTCGATTGATGATTGTTTAAAGATCTATCTATTAGTACTAATATAATTGTACCATTGTAAAACAAGTGATAGATACTCAAACAAAATATCATATTAAATGTTGTACATTTTCAATTATTATCTGAATATAATCTCTTATATAGCTCTATTTTTAGTAAATTAAATCCTAAGTTTTGTATTATTATTTATAGGAACGATGAAGATGATTGTGAATCAGTACCAAAAAAACTTCCACAAGATAATCAATATCAACAGCAAGCACGTCGACGTATACCGAAACGTTATAGTGATGTTGTTGGTCCAACAACAACTAAAGCTTATCTTCCACGAAGAGATTCAGCTACTGGAGATAATCAACCGAATAATCCGTTATCTCAACGTGCTCATCGTCGTACATCACTAAAACCAAATAGTACTGATGGTTTATATGTTATTAATTCACATAATAAAAAATCTACGGAAATACTTTCATCATTACCAAAACTCGATAAACATGATCAATCATGTGTTACACGTCGATACAGTAGTAAAAATAAACGTTTATCAACTTCAAATGCTGTTGATCTTCTTGCTCATCGTATGCAAGCAGCAATGAGTACGGAATTAATGCATTCACTTGATAGAAATTTTGTATTTGGTGATAAAAAACACGCATCAAATTGTGTACATATGAATCGTTCATATTCATTTAATATTACAACATCACCATCGAATGATTGGTGGGAAAAACCATTACAGAAACCAAATCATTATCATATAATTCCTAGAGTAAAACATTGTTTAGATGATGAACGTAAATCAATTGAAACTGTTCCTTCCATTGATGAACCAACACCAGATTATGATGATGATGAAATTATTATTCAAAAGATTCATAACGATAGTAATGATGAAATAGGTGAAGAACCAATAGCAGATTATGATGATTCAACATTAACTCCTGATTATCATGAAAAACCAATTACACCACCAATTATGTATGATCTTGGTGTTTCATCATCGATTGAAGTTCCACAAACATCGATAACTCCAAATAGTGAAACATATACACAACCAGATTCATCTTTTCCACCGACTCCACCACCTTTACCAAATACAATAATTGAATCAAAGAATATTACTGTTCGTTGTCGTACTATTGCTGATAAAATAACGACAGATCACAAACTTATTCTAAAAGATGAAACAGAAACAAAAACTAATGTCATCAATGAAAAGCAAACAGGTAGGATCTTTATTGTTATGTAGTTCTTAAAGAAAATATAATTATGATTTGAACCAATACTTGTTGTTTCGTAGCATCATATTATGAAATCAGTCATATGAAAACTATTCACTTTAGAATTTATGACTCTTACTGAAAAAGGAACGTAAAGATTTGTAGGAAACAAACTAGAAAGCATTTTCGAACTTGATTTTATGAAAAACTATAACTATAAAATTATGTTTTATTCATAGTTCCTGACATTCAAGAAGATTCTTCGAAAAAATCTCATCATAATCAATCAAATGTAACAAAACCATGTTATTTACATCTTTCACAAGAGCTTTTACAAAAGACAACTTTACGTAAAGTTTCTCATCCAGTTTCTCGTTCTTATTCAACGTATGGTTCAATGTCACATTTAAATGAACATGATACTGAATCTACAACATTACGTGGAAAATTAGCAGGTTTTGATGAACAAGCTCTCGATGGTTTATCATCATCAGCAACAACATCAATTATCATGGAAAATGAATATGAACATCGATCATCATCAAAAATTTATAATGATTATAAACGACGAGCATCATCAATAAATATTTCAAGAAATAATACATTAAATAGTGCACATAGTCATTCTTCGTTAATACATCCAATGCATACACATATCGGTTTACGTTCATCAACATCATCATCATCAACAATTGATAAACCATCTGAATTAACTTTATCAAATAAACAAATGAATGTATGTGTTATTAATCAACTTAATGAACATTTATCAACACGTTTTCGTAAACAACAACAAGAAATATGTTCAAGAAAAACTACTAATACTATTCAAGAAGATACAGACGATCATCATACGTATACTCAGTCACTTGATGATATTACAAATACTACTCAAGTTAATCTATATGATGAACCCAATCATAATGAAATGATAAAAACAACACCAGTTAAATGTCCTGAAATATCAATATCTTCTATCCCTCCACCTCCTCCACCGTAAGTAGAAAAATTTCTTTGTTAATTTCATTTGTTCTACATAATGTTATTTAGTATAAATATACTCTTTCTTCTTAGAAGTAATCCTAAAAATAGCAGATTTTTGTTTGCTTACACACATTAAACGCTTGAGGATTTTTTGTATAATGAAATATGTCAGATTTAATCAACTAAATCATTTCCAACACGTCAGCATATTTATAGAAAATAGTATGACCTACGTCATTAGTTTAATCGAATCAAATCTCTATGACCTACTTTAACTGAAAAGAATAATAGATATATATCGAAAGGATATTCATAATTATTAAAATGATCCTATTTGAAACTAGATTACCTGTTGGTGGTTTTCGATCAATTTTACCTCAGATAAATCGTCCATCAAGTTCTCAACGAACATCAATTATGACATTAGCACGTGAATCAAATGGTTTAGAACTTATTTCAAGTAATGGTACATCAACGACATCAAGTAAATTATCTGATACACAAATTCTTCGAGAAGTAAATTTTATAGTGAAAAAAATATATAATAAAATCTATTTCTTTTTTTAGTTACGTACAAATCCATTATTTACAAAAGCTAAACAATATCTTGAAATTGAACCTGGTTCAAATGGTCGACGATCAGGACGTCGTTTAAATGAATCCATGTCTTATTTAAGACTAGATAAATGTTCAAAAGGTACAACATCGATTCCTTCAAATGATAATAATAATAATTCAACTATGGAAAGATTTCTAATGCGTCCAAATGAATTAAATACTGTTATTAATAATAATACACCTAAACGAACGAATTCAAGAACATATACAAAATCATTATTAGAAACACAACGTCGACAATCTGAACTTGAACTTATTTTTCAAGTAAATATTTTTTCTATTCATTTACAATATAATTTAGAATATTTATGAAGACAATTAATAAAATGTCCTTACAAAATCTCTAAAGCATATAACACATTTTTATGATCTGTTTCATGTCTTTATTTTTGTCACTGTGTTTCCAAACAAATAACAGATAATCTAGGAAGTGTAATGTTTACATAATATAATTAAAATAGACAATCTATTTTGTTTAAGATAATTGAGATTATGACATCAATCTCTCATAAATATAATTACCTATAGGTAATAGAATATAATTCTAAAGACTTTATGTCAATTTACTCTTGAAAATAAATGTCTGACACTTAGTGAAGTAAATAGTTAATGATATTTATTTGTTCAAATGTCAGAATATTAGTTACATGGATTTTTTTCAGACAAAATACTTCTATCAATGATATTATGTATTCAAAACTATATAATATTTCATTTTCTTTTTGTTTTAGAAACGTGCACAACGAAGTGAACAAAATTTGACATAATAAATAATAATTATATATTATTTTTGTTTTTCTCATAATTTCAAATAAAATGCATTTAGATTTAATAAAAATCTTTTTTGTTTATCTATATGTATATATATATATATATATTATCAAAGACATGTTACTCGTGATACGGCAACATCATGATAACTACAATAATCAACGAGAATATTAGTTTCAGGTTTATGATTGTTTTGTTTTTGTTGATTGAGATTTTTTCGAGAATATTTGGTTAGAAAACAAAGTTTTGATTGTTTATTATTTTGAATATTAATTAAAATAGTTGTTGGAATTGATGGTGATGATGGAATAGTCATTTGTTTAATTTCTGATGATGAATCAAAATTTTCAGCTGATATAGCTGATGATGGTTGTGCTTGACGATAACGTAATAAATGTAAATTATGATATGACATCAACATATTTCTTAAACGTGTTGGAAAACATCGACATAAATATTTAATAAATGCTCGACGAAATTCACGTGAAGAATATGCATAAATTATTGGATTAACACTAATATAAAAAGTAAAATAAAATTGATGATTTTAATATTTTATCAAAAAAAATCATGTGTCTTTTTTACCTTGAATTAATATAACCAAACCAAGTAAATAATTGAAAGACAAGATCATTTCCAACTAAAAATTGTTCTAATTTATTTAAAGATTTTTTTTCTTGAAGAAATAATTTAGCTATGGCAGTTAATGGAGTATAAACAAAAAAAGGTAACCAACATATAACGAATATTCCCATAACATAAGCAAGTGTTATTGTTGCTTTTTGTTCTTTTGAAAATTTTGTTAAACGTTTACCAAATGATTGACGTGATTTATTTGAAAATATATGTTTTCGATTTATTGCCATTTGATGATTTTCAGTAATTGAACAACGTGATAAAGAATTCTCTGTTGCTGATGATTCACGATCAGTTTGTAAACCATGATATTTTCCACGATGTATACGTAAACATACATCTGCTGGAACAGTTATTGTTGGTATATTTTCATCTTTTGATTGTTGTTTCTTTATTTTTGGTTTTATTGATGTTGCTACTTTAACACCAGTTTTAAATGCATGCAATTGTTTTATAGCTGCACGATAAATTCTTATATAAACAAATATCATAACAAATAATGGGATATAAAATGATATTGATGAAGAAGTTAATATATAAAATATATCATCAGGAAAAAGACAACGATTTTTTTCATATTGACCAACAACTAAACGCCAGTAGACTATGGCAGGAAATGAAATTAAGCCTAATAGAAAAACGTTGGGTTTTTTTTGTTATAAAAATATATTTGATATTTACCTGAACATAACCAGACAGCAAGAAGCAGATAAGGCCATCGTTTAACAAAAAATGCTCGATGATAAGATATCGGATTTGTTATTGCTGAATATCGATCTAAAGCAATAACACATAAATCCAATATTGATGCTGTACTTGCACAAATATCAAATGAATGCCAAAGTTCACAATAGATTCTACCGAATGGCCAATAATCACCATAAATAAGTTGGACAATAGCAAATGGCATAACAATCAAACCAACAAATAAATCAGCACATGCTAATGATGCCATATAATAATATGTAGCTACGAAATAAGAAAATAAATGAAAATTAAATATATAGGGTAAGAACTTGCAAGGTCAAAGCATTGTAGTAAATTAAGATCAGACAAATAGGATATATTTCTTAAGGGTATTTAACTACATTGAATATTTAATTGAAAATAATTGTAAGAAACTATATTAGGACTTTAGTATAATATAAATCTTAGTAGAAAAGAGAGATCATCATGACACCTTCATTCATGTTAAAAACTAGACATTTCTTTCTATTCTATACACGAAGAATAACTTATTAAAATAATCAGATTATTTCCTATTATAAAAAAAATCTCATTTATCTTATATCAAATAAGATATTTATGTATTGTTGTGTAAAACAACTAACTATCAACCGCAATCATTACAAACATGAGTTCCATCAATTAGTAGTATAGACTAATATTTTATAAAAATCTAACACATTGTCACATGAGTGATAACAGCTGTCGATAATGATTAACGAAGTCTAATAAAAAAATTTGTTCTTTGAAATACAAAGTATCGACCTCTTATCTAGAATGATATCAATCTTGAAGTATCATTGACTAAAACTATATGATTTCATTCATATATATTTAAACCACAAAAAAAACAATTACTTTATGTCTATAATAGATCATGATGTTTAGTCCTAGATAAGTAATCATTCGAAATTTTGAAAAAAAAGAAAGAAGAATTAACTATTTTGATAAAACAGAGTAAATAAACTTTTATGTCTTTAAAGAATAAGAGGAATGTAATGAGCTTAGACGGATGTGTTTTTCACTAATAATAATAACTCTGTAGTATATTCTAATAATTAAAGATGATTGAAACTATATTTTTCATTACTTAAAAAAATACTCTGTGACATTTTACTATTCTTTAAAGTTAATAATTATATATATATATATACCTGATTTTAAATATCGTTCTTGAATAACAGCATAAATAACAAGTATATTACCAAGAACGGTAATAATACAACAAAAACTCAATAAAATACTTAATAATAAATTTGTTAAATCAATATTTTCATTTTTTTCTTCGGAAGAAATATTTAAAGAATTATTAAAAGTCTTATTTAATATATTATGTGGTGTTAAATTGGTAGCAATTTGCATTGGATATATTAAATAAATAACGAAATAGAAAAAAGATCATCATAATGTCTATGAATGTAATTGTCGTCGTCGTCGTTGTCGTTGATGTTGTTCTTCAAACATATATATATATATAAGATAAATATCTAAAATATAGAAAAAAAGGAGCAAGAAAAGAAAATGTTTTCATCAATGCATGATATAATCCGGATACGAATAAGATGGTATATGTAATAGAATAGAAAAGATTAACAATTTTTTTTGTCACACATATAGTAACATGAAATTGATTACAATATAAGATCAAATTATAATATGAATGTTTATTCTATAATATCGATTATAAAAAACTTGTTGTTTTTCTCAATGATAATGATCTGTCTTTTTGATATAAATAACTATATATGAATACAGGTGCTTGACAATTAGTATCTGTTTATTGTCAGCATACATACTGAAACTACATTAAAAATATTTTCTTTACTAGACAAATGTCGCATGAAAAGAAAAAGAATATAAAGATATTTTTGAACTATTATATGAAGAGATTTCAAGGGTTATTTTATTAATGAAACAAAAGTTAATGTTATTAGATAAAATCAGAATAGAATAGTTATCTATCATCGCACAACTCATGTCTTGTTTTTTCTTCTTCGTCTTATAATACCTCTTTTTGTTCTGTTAACTATCGATGATTACCAGCTGTTTCATCCATCATATACTGATATGATCTATATAAATATTCCTTCAAATCGAATGACTATATTTAATCTATATAATTCGTAGAGAATGTCAAGATGCACTAAACTAGTAATACAAAAAAAAACCAAAATTTAATTATGTCTTTGTCGTGTTCAATAATATAATAAATTTCTAACTAAAAATAGAGAGCTAGTTTCCTTTTTTCCCTCGTTTCTTTTTTTAATAATAGAAGAATTTTGATTTTTTTTTGAAATGTTTGCTTTCATTTGTCAATTTTGTTTACAAAGAGAGTGTATTTCCAGTGTAAACATGATGACATATAAATATTTATATAACTATGTATGCGTGAAAGAAAGTCAATTATTATTGTCATACATATACTTCAATCAAATGAGAATAATAATGATCTATCAACAATTTCTAACAAGTTTTCTTTCTTTTTTTCATTGATAACGAACAATAATAATGAAAATATTTGTATTGTTAATTAATAAGATTATATCAAAAGACTGATAGTCAAAATATTAGTTTACATATATTTCATTCTATACATATATCTAGGATAGCTCATATTCGTCTAACAATGAATTCTTTAATTTGACTTGAATATGCCAAATTCAGTTACATTTTCATTGTAGTTATAATCATATGATTGAATGACTTTTATTTTTTTTGAAAATAAGAGGAGTCGTGTATGTCATGGTAGTCTTAGTTTAGATAGAGAAAAAAAACAAAGGACTGGATTATTTTTGTCGCATATTCAAAAATATGCTGACCCATTGCTGTTTTTAATAGATAAGAACCTATTTTCTAATTCGGATTAGTTAAAAACATCTATGTTGTTCGAAAAGACGACATATGAAAATTAAATCCAGGTAAAAATCTGATCCCTAAGAAAAGATTAGCATTAGTCATTGTTTCCGGATATTACAACTCTTAATAATTACACTGTTCCTGATTATCTTTGAGATGATTTATATGTCTCAAACATATTCCTATTCCGTGATAAGCTAGTAATTTTTATTATTATTCTAACCTACATTTATATTTACGACAAATGTACTCTATTTATTAGTCATATGAAAACAATTTTCTAAATTAACTGATTCTATACACAGTGCTATATTCACTTATCAAAAGAACGTGTGAAAACATTTCTTTCTTGCATTACTAATAATTTGATTACTATTCTCGATAGTTACATGATCGAGGTAATAATCGTTTAAACTCAAGACAACATTCTTTAGTGGCTTAATATAGAAAGTATGTGATTTTGTTGTTACCTGGTTTTCCTTTTTCTTCTAGTGTGAAATATTTGCATCTGACATCCGATTTACTTTTATTAGTTTCATCTTATTCAACTAATATACACATAGTACAAAACGGAACATGCATTAAGAAATACCTTACTCCCCTTACTTATTATCGTCACTTATATCTAATTTTATCTTTTATAAAATGAATAGGTAAGATTTAAAAGAGAAAGACAAAAAAATAAGGAAATGATGTGTTCATACCATTTTGAAATGTTTCTTGTACTGGATTTGCATGCAGTCATCCATTTTATAATATTAAAAAAATAATCCTTCATGTCATATAGATAAATTTCTAAATAGACTGAATTTAGTATATACTTTTAGTTATTTTGTTCTTATGGTTCGTTTCAAACAAAAATACCGGAAGAATAATTCATTTAAAAAGAAAAAAAAGAACAAAACTGCCATTGATAATAATAATAAAAAATTAATTTATTTTACTGCATATGAAATGTCAATCTTGATTAACCAACAACGACAATACTAGCCATGATGAGAAAAGCGGAAATATAGTCATGCACCTCAGTACATTATGTAGGTTGACGTAGACAAAGATTTCTTTTTCTATAATTAATGTAGTGACAAAGAGCACCACTTAAATTTTCTTCTTTCTCGCTCTTTGATTCTATATTTTCAGTAAATATTCTTTTCGGACATTTGGGGAAAAGAAGAAGAATTTGTATGTGTACTCAAACAAACACGAGAGAGAGAGAAAAAAGAAGAAGAAGAAAACTAATAGCAAATATCAGTAATAATCAATTAGTAGCTAGTTTGCAATTACTCTTCCAGAATAAACAAACATTAGTACATTTTTGAATTATTAAAGAAAAAAAAACACACTCTTATGTTCTGTCAATCAAAAGGGCAAAATAAACATAATACAGACTTTCGACTGATATGAAAAGAATTTTCTTCTTTTTTTGATAATTTAGTTTCAAGTATTTTAATGAAGAAGAAAAAGAAAATGTGATGTTTTTAAAAAATAAGAAATAGGCAGTCTAGAAATCATAATTGAGTGAATTCTACTCAAAATGACGTCTATTGAATTATGATCACAAGGGGAATGAAATTGGTTGACGCTCATAATGGTTTTTATTAGATTATTTAGACATTGAAAAAAAAAGGACAATAGATAGAACCATATAAAAACTATAACTCATTTCTTTAATAAACACATTGTTTACATAAATAGCGAAAAAACGTTGTACGAAATTTATTTACTTAAATATAAGTCTACTATATTCGATAAAATATAGTTAAACTTACTTGAATGGATATTTATTTAAATATATCTGTTAACAAGATCAAAATCTTTCTTCAGATTCTAGAAATATAATGTTTCAGATCTATCTATTTTTAAAAAATATGGAAGTATTAATCGACAAATTTCCTTTATTATTATATATATTCAAATTAAATATATCTCATAGATTTAATGATGTACTAACGATCTAGGTCATAGAGCATGAAAGATACAAGTTTAACACATAAATCTGTCTCGTTCTAACAGCAAATGCAATAAAAGAGATTCATGACAAATATGGAGTATATCGTATTATGACAGTTATAGTCATAAATGGTGTTTGCATCTTGTTGTTTGTTCTTTATCTTTTATTTTTTTGGTCATTAGATCAATTATTCTTCTCTCTTTTTGTCATTATTTTTACTTTAACTATTGTTCATTAGTCATCTGTTATCAATAAAATGTACCTAAAAACATTTTGTCCATATCAATGTCATCATATATCTTTTTTTTTCTTTGTTCAATTTAAACAAGCAATTTTTGTTTAGTGATAAGTAAAATTTAATTCTTTTTTTTGTTATATTAAAAAAAAGGAAAGTTTTTTTTCTATGATGAATAATCACGAAAAAGAAAATTTTTCCATGAAGACCATCGCTCAGAATTTTCGTATAAATAAACCATTGAACGCGTTAATGATGGTTGTAATGTTTCTCGATGACATTCATATAACCAAAGAACAACAGCCCAAACGAATGCTGCAAACCATGGAAATATTGGTCGTTGAATTTTTGGTAACCATGAACGTTTTTGTGCATAACGTGCAAAACCAACAACAATTCGTGCAAGTAAATAAAGTATGATTTGTTCATTAACACTATTATGTTCATTAAAAATAACATAACCAACAATAAATGCACAAATAAACGCACGCCATGGTTTTGATATACCAAAAACAGAAGCAACTATTGTTCGAAGTGTTTTATAACAAAATACAAATAAACCTAAATGTTTTGCATGTAAATATGTCATACGAAGAATAAAACGTATTCTTTGTGGTAATGGTTCACGACGAAATAATATTGCTTGAACAACTGAATGAGCAAAACGTACTTTAGCTCCATAAACAATACCTTGTCTTAAACCTTTAATTGTTGCTAAGGTGGCATGATTTGATGGATCATTTAAAATACTATTTATAACATGTGGTATGATAGACATGAGATTATTATGCTGAGTTTTATGATCAGATCTTAAGTGTTGGTTTTGTACGAATGCATATTTACCTTTTAAATACACATGTATTTGTTATATTTTGTTTTTCTTAACTTCCATCGAATTAAGTTAATAAATGGATAAGGAAAAGAACCAAACAATGCAATTAGAAATATTATATATAGATGCCTCTAGTTATCGCAAGATTTTGTTTGTTTTATTTGTGAGAGAAAGTGATCATCGTATAGTTTATACCTAAAAATTACTAATTTCAAGTGCTGCTATACAAGATATATATCAAGTTAAATATTCATCAAAATGATAGGCTGTTTTCATGTATTTTTTGCCAGATTGATCGAGTTTCAAATGATTTTAGCTCACATATGAAATATTCTCTCTCCATTAACGCCTGCTTTTTCCTGACATCCACAAGTTCTATTGAATGAACGGTTATACAGATTATTCCGTAGATATATGTCATATTGTAAAAAATATCGTTTTAATTATTGAAAGATAACCACAGTTTTCAATAAAATCAACTACCATCTAAGTTTAGTCTTTAAACTATACAAGTTAGCTTTACGAATCTGACTTTAAACAATCTAACATAAGATTAATACTTGGATCATCTCCTTTTTGAAAAATCTTGACACATTTAACAATTTAAAATATATACTAATGTATCGAGTTTTATTAAATAAGTATGGCTTTGATTCAGAATTGATTTATGCTCAAGTGAACCTTCTTTTTGATTAAGCTATCTATTTCAAGATCATAATTCTAACAATAGATACTGTTCCATTTATGAACATGTTCTTATTTTTAATTAATTGAATAAGACTATCATTATGATATATATACAATATAAATACCATGTTGTCTACACAGAAAGATAATAATTTTATCTTATATTAAAGGGTTTCTACACTTGTATAGATATATTTTTCGCAAACGTCTATGATCTTTTGTAAATAATAGTATCAAGTTTTTGTTTGATCTTTCTATTATTAGAAAAAGAGGGATATATTTAGTTTAAGTTCTAAAAATAAGAAACAATAATTATATGGATTATTTTAGATTTTTGTTCTATATCATGTACAAGTAGATCATTTTTTTTAATATCTTCGATGTGAATGTCCTCCTATTTTATTTTCTTGTATTAGACTCATTTTTGCACATCTATTGTTATCAATCTTCTTTACAAGACTATTCGCAGTACCTTCACGATTTCGTTGAATTTGAATACGATATTTATCATCGTTTTTCATACTGCTCCATTGTCTCATTACATTGTGGGTCATCAAATGACACTTCTTATTTATAATGATTAAAAAACAATCAAATATGTACCTAAGAATTGTTGAACAACATGTTTCATACTTCACGTGATAAGCAAGTAGCTTCATTCATAAAAAAATGATATCATTGAGACAAAAGGATATATACCATCAAATCTTATAATGAGAAAACTTAATTTCAAATATAGGAGAAGTGCCAGTTGAGTGTTCCGCTTCTTATAGATAAGTGTCATAAAATGAACAAAAGAATATATTCAAATACTAACATATTCGAAAAATGATCTATTATATATATATATTCGTATTTTTTAAAGTATATAAATTCTAATTAGAAGATTTTTATGTGCTTATAGTGCAAGCTAAAAATAGAAATTTCTTTTTTTAAGAATTTATAACTCGCTTTAAAAACTGCATACAAATAAAAATTTCAATTCAAGCAAGAAACCCCTTCATTTCGCATATATAAAACATGAACAGAGAAAAAAAATATCATCTGACTATTCAAACGATTTTTTCAAATCCTAGTTTTTTATGAGTATGAACTTGTTGTTGTTGTTGTTTTATTATTAAACCATGCTTCTGACATAGGTACACGAGCTGGTCCAACAAGAACACTATCATCATGTTGTTGTTGTTGTTGTTGTTGTTGTCCTCCTCTATTTGTCGTTGTTTCTTTTGCTGAATCTTGTTGTTGATTGTAAAGTGAACGAAATGTAATCGCTTGTTTTAAATATAGTCTTGCTTTAACAATTTCTTTTAATAAATATTTTAAATCATCACTATCAAGTTCTGGTAATAAACTATCATCAAGTTCTAAATCATATGTTTTATCTTGTTGTAAACGATGCATAAATAAATGTAAATCACGTGAATTATTTGTTGAACGATGATAACGTCCATTATTATCATGTGCTAAACTTTTTAAGAAATGATTTGCATCAACATCTTGACAACAAAATGATATTGTATTTATTGATATACGTTTTGTATCAACTATATTTGAATCAATTGTATTCATTAAACGTACTTGTTCTAATAAATAACTTGTACTATGATCAGGTTTACCATCACTTACATAATAAATACCATCAATTGGTTGTTTTGTATGATGAAAATCAAATGCAAATTTTAACACACGTTCACTACATGTATTACCATTCGCTTTTAATGTACTTATCCATGCAATAGCTTCATGACAATTATCTTCAGTTGGTAGAACAAGATGTTCACGCCATAATTGATAATTATCATTAAATTGAATAAAATTAAATTGAATTTGATTAGCAAAGATTTGTTCCCATACGAGTGTAACTAATTCTTTTTTTAAAAAATCTAAATATGGTTCCATAGAACCACTTGTATCAACAAGTATAAGAATATTTCTATGTGTAATTGTTGAAAATGTTAAACGACTTCCATTTAATAACCATTGCATACGTTTAAAATAACGACGTAAAACAGATTCACATCGTTGACGATAATCATCTAATTCTCGTGGACGTAATTGTAAATGACGAATACTACCTTTGATATTAATTGAAGGAAATACAGAACAATAACGAGCTGAAGATGTTGATTTTAAATTTGGAACAGTAATAGTATCATGACGACCTATAAAAGAAATGAATTTTTTTTACTCAATGTATCTTAAATCCTAAAAATAGGGATATGCAGTATCAGTATACTGAACACCGATAATATTACACTGACGGTCAGTGCATCAGTGGTGATACCGGCACTGTTTGCACTTAGAGTACAGTGTACACCGACCTGGTGTTCACTGCATCAGTGATGATACCGACACTGTCTGAACTGGGACTACAGTGTGCACTGATATTGTGCTCACTAAATTATAGATTTATATGGCATTCAACTTGACACGTAATTTAAACATATCGATGAACATAGTGTCAGTATACACCGTGCATCCTCAGTTCAAACAGTGTCGATGTCACCACTGATGCAGTGAACATCATATCGGTGTACACTGTACTCTCATTACAGACAGTGTCGGTACAATACTGACAGTTTTTCAGTGTTTTCACTGAAACTGCACATCCATACCTAAAAAGTTAGTCATTGATTTTATACTTACATTCTGGTCCCGATACCATTTTATGAAGATCAAGTTTTAATCGAATAAGTGAATGTTTTCTTAACCATGCCTAAAAATTCCTTTTCAATTAATAATCGAATTACTAAATAATATATTTCTTACATGTGATGCTTCATTTTCATCTTCAGTTGGTATAAGTAATACATTGCCAGGTGCATATTTTCTGACAGATTTTTTTCCTTTTGATGAATCATTTTTAAGAACTGATATTTTTGTATTATGTTGACCATCGATATAGAAGGATTCTTGTTTAAGTGATGCTTCTCTAAAATAAATATAATAGAAAAAATATTAATGAAATAGAATTACTTCTTTTTTCTTGAACGTATTGAATCTTGATGAATTTTATCCTCAGGCCATTCAGGTATAAGATTTCTATTACTAGTTGTACTCGTTGGTCTCCAATGTTGATCATCTGTATTATTATTTGATTCATTCATATGTTGTCTAGCAGCACTTAACAATGTTTGACGAACAACTAATGGTCCGGAAGTTTTTTCTGTATTTTCAATAGGTATAGGTTTTTTATTGGTATTCACAGGTTCACGTACACGTCGTTTCGATTTAATTAATTCAACAAGATTTGCAGCTTGTTCAGAAAATTGGCAAGCTTTTTCAATTTCATTTTGTAATAATTTAATATCATCACTTTCAATGATTCCTGTCTCACGAAACCATAAAAATCTTCCACCTGAATGTTTAGCTAATGAACGCATAAATTCGGCTGTTTTCGTTGCATTTGCCCATCGACCATTAACAGTCATTGATAGATTATTTTGTATACCATGTTCAGATAAATAATAATCATCAATATTAAATAATATTGTATGTAAATATATCGATCGACCAACATTACATTCTTCAACATATGCACAACATACATCAAGAGATTGATCTGGTATACCACTTGTTAATAAATAGATTCCTTCAGGATGTAAATGATGTTTACGTTCTTCTTCATTTTCATAAATAGTACGTAAAGCATGAAGAAGATTACGAGTACCACCACAACTTAATCGTAATACCTATAGGAAGAGAATTATATATTTTATTAGCATTTGTTAGGAACTTTTGAAAATGAAAAGAATTTAGACGAATAGAACTTTTCTGATTAAGAAGAATTTTCAGTCTACGACGATTCTGCTCAGTTTATGACATACTAACAACTGTCGCATAAAATCAAATTCTTTGCTTTAAGAAACTGATGATTTTTCTTCTCATATAAATTCATTTGTATCAATGAATAATTAAAAAATCCGACATGAACTCAAGTATGTTGTATTGTTGAATATGTCTTGAAATCCGGAAAAGAAAATATCCGAAAAATTTCTGATATCGTTCTAACAGAAGAGAATGACAATATTCTTTCATAAATGTTTATGGTTGTCTACGTCTATCATGATTATCGTCTACCGCCGAGTGCCATTCTACTTTACTGTGCTCTGCACTTCTATTAGCAAATATACGCAGACGTGCACCTTGAGAGTGTGGGTGTTGTGTCCATGCTTTATCCACACGCACATCTTCTAACTGAAGTCAATACTCTTGCCAATAGGAATGTGACAGTTCCACTTCGAAAGAACTGGACTTGAGTTTTTACAGTCCTACTTGCTAAAAATTTCGAGGGCGATGAGATCGATCGCGATGAATATCTTGTGGGACTTTCTTTATTAGTGGTTACTAAAAATTGAACTACATCACTTCTCTTCTAATCAAATGAGATCTCCTCTTTCTTGTACATGGTTCTCTGTTAAATAAACTGTTAAATCTTTTTTCAAAAATTTTCCAGAGTTTTTCTTCCGAATTTTGGGATAATATCGTATTGTTTAGTGTATGATATTCAATAGAATAGAACAAAAATTTCTTACCCATTGCCAAGCATGTTGAAGATTTTCAATAGTTGGTTGTACCATTGTTGGTTTAAATCTTAACAAACCATCTTTATGATTTGTACCAAATGCAATAATATTAAAAAATCTTCTACCAAATAATTGTTGTTCAAGTAATAATCTTAATGAATGTTGTATATGTATAATATAATCTTGATTTGATTGTGAACAATCGACAAGTATAATAATATTATTTTCGACAATATTACCAAAGATTTTACGTGATGATGAACATAACCATTCCATACGTTGTTCATATAATTCAACGATTTTTTTTAAACGTTTTTGATAATCATATAAACCAGCTAAATCAACATGAATATTTTTTGTTGAACCATCATGCCAATCAACTTGAATCATAGATTTTCCAAGTATTTGTGATGTAACTGTTTTACGAAGAATTGGAATATAATCTTCACGTGCAGAATAAGCATTTGGACCAAGAATTTGAAATAATGTTAGTTTTCTAGCAAATAAACCATGTTGACGAAGCCAATCAGCTGATGTACGATAAACAGCAGGATTATTACTGGATAGGACAGCTGATGATTGTTCTTGTTGTTGTTGTCTGCCAACACTTGTATCTCGCTTCAAAAAAATAACAAAAAATGATTAAATTTAAAATATTATTGATTTCTAGTCGTAGATTCTTGAGAGTGTGGGTTGATCTAGTACTCACTCTCAACTTTACATTTATATGAGAACTTACACTTCTGGCAGAATTCATTGATTTGTGTGATGGTGCAGCTGAACGACCAGCAATACTAACATTCTCATTAAAACGAACACTGGATTGTCTTCCATGTGATCGAGCCGATGCTGCTCGTTCAGTCATTGTAGCTGATGAAACACGTGGCTGTCGTGCATAGATAATTGGTGATTGATCAATAAATTGTTGAGAAAAACGTAATGGTCCTTCATGATTAGGTGGACGTGGTAGAAATTTTGATTGTGGATAATGTGCCATTTCAATATTTAATTCATTTTCAATGGATATAATTGCTGAACCAAGTGCACCATGACGCATTTCATTAATACGTGATAAAAGTTCATAAGCACGTTGAATTTCACGTACAAGTAGACGAATATCTGTACTATTATATATTTGATGTGGTTCATCATGTGAATAACAATGATAAGTATGTTTGATTATTTCTGGAATATCATTTGTTAAATTTTGTAATGAACTAAAAGAAAAATATTCTGTATATTATTATTATTATTGAAAATTAAATATTTATACCTGAGTGGATTATGTGGAACAAGTGCTGTTGATTGTGGTTCTTGACGATTACGTGCTGCTGCTAATGTCGCAAATGTACTAGCAGATGCAGTCATTGTTTTAAGTAATGCATTAACAAGATGATGACTACAATCATACGAAACAGCATGTATACGTGGTATATCTTCTCCACAAAATAATTGTGATGTATAATCAGCAATAACATCAATATTTTGATCAGGTAAACTTCCAACAACAAGTAAAAGTGTATCGAAATCCGACATTAATGATGCACGACGTAAAGCTAAAATTTTATACAAACAAAATTAATAAATCATAATTTCTTTTTTGCAATTGAAATAATTACCTTTTAATAGATTACTTCCACTACTAGCTTTAAATGCACATTTATTTTTATTATTTGGACATGAACTATCAATATGTGCACAATTTTCATCACTACAACCAAATGAAGATTTTAAACTAGCTAACCAAGCACGTGTTTCATCAAGTGCACGTGAATTAACATCACGTACACCTTTCCATAAAGCATCAACTTCTGTTCCATAAGATATAAAACCTATTTGATCTTTATGAACTAATTGTTCATTAATTAATGCTAATAAATTTTTATGATATTCTTCTCCACGTCCAAAACTTGCTTGTCCATAACTAAAATCTAATATAACAAGTACACGTGCACCTTGAACAACACCAAAAATTTTTCGACTATCTTGTAATAACCAACGAATACGATTGGAAAGTGTTTCAACTGTTGCATGTAAACGACATTCAAAATCATTGATTGTTAATGAATCAAAACTAATATGTTGAATAGCTCGACCTGTTTTATCAGCTGTTGGTAAAGATACTTTACCTTTAGTTAATAAATCTTTTAATGTAAGACCATTGGCTATAAGACCATATTGTGTAAGCCAAGTTTGTGATGGACGTGTTATAGATACATCTCGATTTCCAATTGTAAGACGATCTAAATCATGATAATGATTAACATGAGTTGCTTGTAATTCATCTGGTGGTGCTCCACGAGCTGAAAATGGAATAAAATCTCGATCACTATTTTGTTCATAATAAAGACGACGTTCATCATCATCATCATCATTTTCATCAACATTAATTACAGTTGATTGTTCATCATCTGTTAATGATGTTAATGATTCTTCAGAATCTTCACCAATCGACATAATAATATTCAATTGAAATTATTGTTTGCCAATCGGGTTAGTTTATGGATTGATTTATTTGATAACAACCATTTTTGATATTTATTGTAACCATGATCTTACCTCTTTTTCATATTTAGTTTAAAAATACTGATAGATTGACATTAAATATATAAATTTTTCATTTAAATCTAGGAATAGTCTCGAATATTTATATTATTTATTTATTAATTGTGCTAAAGATGTCGCAAGGCGTAAAAAACAATTATGTTATGATAATAATATTTAATAAATATACATTATGATTATGGGCGTGGTTCTTCATCGAAATATTATTCTTCAGGAAATTTTCAATACGATTTCTTTACTGGATCTATAATTTATTTTCACAGAAGAGAATCTATTTATATATGAGTCTAATAGTTTATTGTTTTTTTATTTTTTAAAAAGAAATGTAGTACACTAATGAGTTCTAGATTAATATGTTAGTTGCTTTAAAGACAGAGAGTCCAAAGAATAATGTGATTTTAAATCTAAGAAGAAAGTTTTTGACTAATAGATATCATTTGGTTGTTTATGGACGAACGTTGAGAAGAACACGTGAAGCCATTGAAAGTGTTGTAAGATAACCAATAGCACATGTAATAAATCGACTTGGTTGTGGTAAAGCAAGCTAAACAAAAAATATTCAATAAAAAAATAAATCTAATGAAAATAGTTTATAATAATATACTTGATAAGTAAGCGTATGTAAAACACGTGAAATAAAGAAAACTCGAAAATGCCAAAGAGCAGTATCACGATCAGGATTGGTACCAACATAAAATAATCCAACAAGTACGAATGGTACGATATTTTCAATATCATTTAAATGATTACGACGAACACGTTCAACATCTGGATCAGCGAGTGTAATAACAGCTGTTTTGTTTTTTGCTAATGAAAGATCTTCTGGATTAGCAAAAGCCTTGAATAAATAAATAAAAATATATTTCTAACGGTAATATAATAAAAATTGAAACTTACATCTTTTGACATTCGTTTAAGAGTTGTAAGTGCAGACATACCCATCATTTTAACAACTGCAGCAGTTGAATAAAATGCAAAGTTAGTAAAAACTGAGTTATTAAGTGTATAATAAAGAATCGACATTTTAATGAATTGATCTAGATAAATTTGGTTGTAATTTTCGAAGTAGATACTACTTATGCTTTGTGCACGTCAAGATATCTGAAATGAATAGAGAAGAAGAGAAACGACAGTCGAGGTAGAAAATAACCACAACAACACACATACATACATATATATATACGCAAATAATTTTCTCTCGTTCTCCTAACCAAAAATAAAAAATATTTTTCTCTCGAGCGGATGTGTCTTTGCCATTTCTTTTTTTCTCTTTCGCGTTTCTTGGTATATACTATCACTCACGCCGTACGCAAAGGTCATAGACGTAAATTAACACAGGAACAATGGAAAAAAATCCTTTTTTCTGTTTATTACACAGACAGGAGTTTTTTCCAATAAATTATGAGCACTTAAATAATTTTCTTAAATTTTTGCATAAAAACTATAATAAATAAATTATCTTACAGTTGCTGTTGTAAAATAATCTGATTGGCAGATAAAAACTAGAGTATTTTGGTTTGATGGAATAATAATTGTTTAGTTAATGTAATTAACGCTTATATAATATGTTTGTAAGCCTCTCAAGATCATTATTATCGATGTATATAGATGATTATGACTCTATTCTATTGGATAGATAATATCGTTGCAAAATTTGTTTGAATCTCTAACAGATTAGATAAATTCAAGAAATTGATCCAACGATTATCATGGGCCAGATCCGAACTGTTCAGATTCAATTTTAGAAAGATCTCAATTGTACATTAGTACAGCGATGTTACATTTTTAAGTAAGCTCATGTAAAAACGTGCTATCCGATAAATGATGTTCTCTATAATATTTACATGTGCCGTTGATCAATGTTACTCTCAGTTGGTCACAATATATTGCGTGATCTACCAGTGTATGCTACAACGCAAACATCAAAGATATGATTCAATAATCAAATTCTCGTAGAGGATATAAGCCAATTAATAATTAATTGAGATTATATTGAAAATTCTATTTAATAAAACAGATAATAAGTTTAACATCGAGGATAACTTTTAACATACGCTCATGGGCGATGTAATCCTCATATAAAAATTTAACATCCAAACAAGTATCCTAAGGTGTGGATCTGGACATGACTGACCTATTTCAAAAATGAATAGTTACAAAATAGTGATTGAAACATGAGATAGAAATATCGATATCCAACTAATACTGTTCGTTTACAGACAGCGTTTAAAACGTATATATTTCAATGGACTTGAAACAAAAACACTAACATATGTTTTATAACTGAAACTACCGCCAATGAATCAATCAATCAATGTTATTCTTCAGAAATAGATTGATAGAGGGCTGTTAGTGAAAAATCTCTGAATGTCTACTTCAAAAACTATGTTGAATTTAAGAGGAAAGGAATGGCGCCAATAATTTCATTTGTCATTATTCAATCTGAATATGGATAAGTCAAAGGAGAGTATTGAACGTCTTTGCCATCAATTTTTACCAGATATCGTTGATCTACTTCGTTTTCTACGAACTTATAATATGAAAGAAACTGAAACATGTTTTCGTCGTGAATGTCATTCACATGTTAATACTCTTAATAAAACTTCTGTAACAAATGAAGATCAATCTATTCCTAATTCAATTAATGTTAATGATTATTTTGTTGTATATTCCTATTTATCAAATTTTATTTTCAATTCTCCTTATCAAATCGAACTTATGCAATTTCTTTTTCCACTTTTTGTACATCTCTATTTGGATTTACTTGAACATAATTATATAAATGAATGTCAACAATTTTATAAACAATTTGTACATTCAACATTTTATTCATTACATTCTGAATTTTTTAATCAATTAAAACTTATTTCAAAATCATCTAAACATCTTCATCAATGTACATTGACGAATGCATTTCGTACAAGTCGATTTTTCTTACGTTTATCAATGACTAGTTGTAAAGAATTACAAAATTTTATTGATTATACAAAAAATTTAACAAAAATAAATTCACAATTTTATTTAACAGCATCACAAATTTCATTACTCTTATCAATATTTCAACAATATATTAAAGTTGATATTAATCAACAAGTATTTACATCATCGAATATTGTACGTTATCAAACTAGTGAACAACCAATGACACCAATATTTGTTCATACAAATCTTGCTAATAAAATACAATTCACGCGTTTATATACTGGACTTTTTCCATTACAATCATTACCAAATGATTCTAATAGATCATCAGGTAATAAAAATAGACCAGAATATAACTAGAGATCTTAGCTTTCGAGTTGATCCAGGCAAATGTCAGTCATAGGGATGCAACGGTGACGATAACCGTAGGAACCGGTAACCGTTCCACCGATGGCCAATCTGAACCCGTAAACGTTCCATCTTGAGGGTGTGGAAGTAGGAGTAGGTATGGGGTGGACGTAAGTGATAGATGAAATAAATACCCATATCCAAACCCTCAAGATGGAACGGTTACCGATTCATATGGTGAACCGGTGACTGACCGTCACCGTTGCATCCCTAGTCAGTCATACCCCTATAATTAATATTTCTGTGAATAATAAATGCGTCGTTTAGTATGAATATGGTTGTTCTATTTCATACACTTCTTATTTATTCTTCATTTTAATCTATAAATCTGTTTAGCTCAATATTCTCAATTAAATCGAGGAGACTTATCATCATCATATCCACAAATAAATTATAATCGTCTTCCTAATACGAATGATTTAAATAATATACCTCGTCTTGGTCCACATCAATTACCATCAATATGTTTATTTACATTAAAAAATTCTAAACAAATAATCAACTGTATTAATCTATCAAATGATTGTCGTTTGTTAGCTGTTGGTTTTCAATCATCAGAAATTTTAATTTGTTCATTAAATCCAAATAATAAACTATATTCAATGAAATCAACAAAAGAACTTCGCCATTTACTTAATAAATCAACACGAAATTATAATCTAGATACATCATCATTTATAGAAACATCAAATGAACGAGTACTTATTGGACATACATCAGCAATATTTACATTAGCATTCGAACCAACAAAACAAACTTATCTATTATCTGGTTCACAAGATTGTACTATACGTTTATGGCATTTAACTATATGGTCTTGTCTTATTGTTTATAAAATGCATTTTCAACCTATACTCGATAGTAAATTCAATTTTGAATTCAGTCTTCTTTTTTTTACTTCTCTTCGTTTGATTTCAGTTGCATTCGCTCCTGTTGGTCATATCTTTGCTTCATGTAGTATCGATGGTCTAATCTGTCTATGGACAATTGATAAAATCAATCCATTTCGAATCTATCCTGAATATGAATATAGTGGTCCAATAAATCTAGTTGTATTTCATCCTAATTCAAATTATCTTGCTTCAGCACATAATGATCATACAATACATTTATGGAATATTCAAAATGAAAATGCTTTAGTAAGAATTTTTAATGGTCATCGTCATCAAATAAGTTCACTTTGTTTTTCGCCTAATGGACATTTTCTGGTATCAGGTTGTTGGAATGGTGAAATTATTCTATGGGATATACAAAATAATCTCCAAATAGCACATTTGTTTCTACATAAACAAGCTATTTCTTCTATTGAATTTAGTCCATTAACAGGAACATTATTATTAATATCAAGTATTGATTCAACAATTTCTCTATGGAATTGTTTTATGATAACAAAAATTTATGATGAAAAATTAACTGATTCAATGAATAAGAATTTATCATCACATAAAATACTTTTAAATGTATTCAAAACAAAAAATATACCAATATTTCATATAAAATTTTCAAAAGAAAATATTCTTTATGCTATTGGTTTAACTAATGAATGAATAAAAATAACTAATGATTCTACACATTTTTTCAATAATTTTTGAGAGGCTAAAGTTATCAAGCTCGAAATTGTTATTCTGAACAAGTGTCTATACATTCATTTTTGATATTCTAACTCCTATTACATTGAATTATAGTTTATGTTTTGATGCAGTGGCGGATTTAGAGGGAGGGGGCGATCGATCCCCCTTCCGAATATTTTTTGATTTTTTATAGCAAAAATGAACGAAAAAATAGGTTCACACTACTTCGATTAGACTCAAAAAATAGCTTTTAGTCAAAATCGCCCCCCCCCTCTTCAGGTATCGCCCCTCCCCTTCCAAAATTCTAAGTTCGCCACTGTTTTGATGTGTGGTAATATTATCGCATATATATTAGAATTCAGGGCCTTCATGCGAATCGTGGGAAAAGGTATTGCAAAGTTCGATAGTCCTAATTGATTATATATGAGACACTTTTCTTGTGACTATACGACATCTATTGAATGATGACATTTATTGGTAATGTCTAGAACCAGAGAATAATCAACATACTGACGATATATTTTCACTCGTATTTTGAAAATAAAGCGTTGTGACATAAACTAACCAATTCTTAATATTTATTTTTATGAATAAAAACTAGTATAAGTAATTAATATCATACATTTACAATTCTCTTCGAGCTTAATTTCTATATTTTAATGACAAGAATATAATTTATTATATATGAATCAGTCTAAACTAATAGTACGATATGAATTGATTGATAAACATTGGTTTTCAATGTAAGAACAAACAAAACAATATTTATTCTTTTCTTTTTAGATGGCAGGTAGTGCACAAGAAAATTTAGTTCAATTTGAAAGAATAAATAATGTTCAAGAAATAACAGCTGCTGATGAAATCTATGCATATGATGCTCCTTTTCAACAGTCAATTTTACAAACTCGACCATGGTTACAAAAGTAAACTTACTATCATGATTTATATTACAAAAAATATTTACTTGTTTGTTTTTCTTTAATTTTTAAGTCCAAATTATTTTAAACGATGTAAAATCTCTGCTTTGGCCCTATTAAAGTTAGTTATGCATGCACGTTCAGGCGGTACACTTGAAGTAATGGGCATGTTATTAGGAAAAATTGATGGTGAAAATATGATTGTTATGGATTCATTTGCTTTACCTGTAGAAGGAACAGGTAAATTTATTTTTCAAGTATATATAAATAAGCATATAAGTAGGAAAACTAAGATAGCGACTTTAATTGAAAGAAAAATAAAATCATTGTTTAGAATTATATTGTCTTTCGACAAAAAAGAGGCGAAGAGTTGTTGTCGCAGTTTCTACCTGTACGTTATGATTGATACTCGGAAGTAACGAATCAGTAGTCTTTTTAATGACGATTGTTCGCACTGAATGGTGATGAACTGGAGAAAACAATGAAACTTTAGTTTGAGGCAATGAATTTTCTTCTACAGAAGAAGTTCGAGTGAAAGTGAAAATTAAAAGGATCACAGAAATCATCAGTAAGATATACTAAATTTATTTGAGCACCATGGACTGATGATTAATGAATAGATGAGAATGCAAAAGCTGGAAGTTAAGCATTGTTTAAATTTCACAAATCTAATAAAGTTTTAAAAAGTAGGTCAGTATTAGGCTTCTTAGCAAAGTAGTAATTCTTCATTGTATATTCAAAAATTGCTAGATGAATAAATTATTAATACCACCATCTGGTGCCTGTATAGTTGAAGAAATAGAAACTTCGTACATTTTATAATTTTATTCTTTTTTTCTATATTAGAAACTCGTGTAAATGCTCAACAGGAAGCATATGAATATATGAGTTCATATACATTATGGGCTAAAGAAGTCAATCGTCCCGAAAATGTTATTGGATGGTATCATTCACATCCTGGTTATGGTTGTTGGTTATCAGGTATTGATGTTGATACTCAAATGCAAAATCAACAATATCAAGATCCATTTGTTGCTATTGTGGTATGAAATATCAATTCTTTATGTATATCTAGCGATCGAGATAAAAAAAACGTCATTGTTTTATTTTAGGTTGATCCAACACGAACAATATCTGCTGGTAAAGTTAATATTGGTGCATTTCGTACATATCCAAAAGGACATAAAGCTGAAAGTGAAGCAATTGAATATCAACCAATACCGTTAAATAAAATTGAGGATTTTGGTGTTCATTGTAAACAATATTATCCACTTGAAGTATCATTTTTTAAATCATCACTTGATAAACGTCTTCTTGAACATTTATGGAATCGATATTGGGTTAGCACACTCAGGTTTGTATTTTATTCGTTTTCTTTTAATATATATATATTAAAAATGATTTCATTTTAGTACATCAACATTATTAACAAATGCTGATTATATTACTGGTCAAATTAATGATGTAGCAGATAAACTTGAACAAGCAGAAAGTCATTTAGGACGAACAAGTTTTTTACCATTACCTGAACAAGATCGAAAACAAGATGATAAATTAGCAAAAGCAGCAAAAGATTGGTAAATATATAAAAAAAATTAATTAAATACTATATCTAACGTAATTTTCTTTCTTTCTTATTTAGCACAAAAACAGCTGTAGAAGCAGTGAATTCTTTAATGTCACAATTAATTAAAGAACGTCTTTTCAATCAAGTGACATTCCATTCATGAATATTTATATTAATTGTCCTTCTTTTTTTTACTTAACAATATATAAACCAACTTTATTCTAGAATGAAATGAACTATTTTTTATTTTATTTTTTTTCAGATATTTATTTTTTCTATTCAATAGCATGTGTAAATGAGAATATACTGAGTACTTTAGCAGGTCACATTAGCAGTAGGTCAGAACAAACTAATCTTTTTTTTCTTTTCTTTTCTTTTAATTTACAGAATGCATCGCTGAAATACTGAGTTGTATAATTAATCTAACAAAGCAGAAAGAAAACATACGATTACTAAAATAGATTGAATGAATCTGATATATATATATATATGTGTCGCGTCGAGTTTATTTTAGAGCAACTAAATATAAAATAATTATTCAAAAATCATATCTTTAATTTTCTCATGATTGTAGATCTATTCAAGAAACCCCGTAGGATAGGAGATAGATGTTTAGAGCACTAAGTCTTCATTCATACACTACGTAGACATGAAATGTCGAGACTGATAGTCAGATGAAGCAGGCACTTATCTGAGGCATAGTAAATGTGAAAGAAAAAACCTAGTTTAGCCGAATCGTAATTGGACTCAATGTATGTCCGAGTTCGTTAACCATTCAATTTTTTCTGCTATTACTATAAAATACATAGTACAATAAATATTCAAATCTTCATAAGATAATTTCTAATTTTGTTTTTTTTCTGTTCTAGATTTTTGTTGGACTACGATGAGCAGTAGTTCATATACATTATTAACTAATTCACCAGATAAACTTGAGTCTAGTATAACCATTAGAGATCCTCCATCACCAGGTGCAATGAATAATTCAAATGATACCTTGAAAAAAAAATATGTTCAAATTGCATTTGCAGTTACACTCTATTGGTATAAAAATATTTAAATTCTTCTCTATATTTACATATATATTTGTATAGGTTTGTTTCAATTACAATGGTCTTTTTAAATAAATATTTACTTAGTTCAAATAATGTGAAAGTAATTTTTTTTCTTTACATGAATGTTAACTTATTTATTATTTTCAGCTTGATGCACCTCTGTTTATAACATGGTATCAATGTGTAGTAACAGTTGGACTTTGTGCTATATTAGGAAATTTAAATAAACGTTTATCAATTGTTTCAAAATTTCCAACATTTAAAATTGACCTTAAAATTGCACGTGATGTAAGTGAAAAAGAATAATGAGTTTGAATAAAATAGAACAAAAAAAAGAATCTTTTTTTTGAATATAAAAGGTACTTCCACTTTCCATTATGTTTGTTGCAATGATTACATTTAATAATTTGACTTTAAAATATTTAACTGTTTCATTCTATATGGTTGGTCGATCATTAACTACTGTTGCTAATGTGGTATGTCATCGTTTTTTGAGAAATAAAACAAATGAATAATTTCCTATTAAATAGGGTTTTACTTATTTAATGCTTGGAGAAAAAACATCATACAAAGCATTAGGATGTTGTGGACTTATTATTGCAGGATTCTTTCTTGGAATTGATCAAGAAAATGCACTTGGTAAGAATTTAAAATTAGAAAAATGAGTTCAATGCTTGTAAATAATGTAATCCTCTCTCTGATCCCAGATTACCCTATATATTTTTTTTTACTGATGATATTTAAAAAATAGAATTGACTCTACAAGTATCCTTGATATGTGCTGCTCACTTGAATATAAGAAAAAAATATAATTATTTTTAGGTACTCTTTCAATGTTTGGTGCATTTTGTGGTGTAGCGTCAAGTGCATTTGTCGCTTTAAATGCTATTTATACTACTCGATGTTTACCATGTGTTGATAATAATGTTTGGCGTTTATGTTTATATAATAATTTCAATGCATGTATTTTATTTGTTCCTCTTATGATTCTTTTTGGTGAATTATCACCTGTTCTTAATTATTCCAAACTATTTAATTTACCATTTTGGTTTGCAATGACAATGGCTGGTGTACTTGGTTTTTCAATGGGTTATGTTTCTGGTTATCAAATACAATTGACAAGTCCTTTAACACATAATGTATCTGGTACAGCGAAATCTTATGTTCAAACATTACTTGCTGTTATTATTTATACAGAAGTAAGAAAATTGAATGATTTAAGAGTTTAAAAAAAAATTAATTTTTCTTTTATTAGACTAAAACATCACTTTGGTGGTTATCAAATGTATTTGTTCTTGGTGGTTCAGGTTTATTCGCACATGTTCGAGCAAAAGAAATGAAACGCAATCATAATACTGATAATAATTCGACAACATCTTTACCAAAATAAAAAAAAGACAATTTAAATGAATGAATATGTGACACAGAATCTCTCTGAAGACTTTTATTAATTTTAAACAAAAAAAAAAACTTTCTTGCTTCAATTTTGATTTTTTCGTTAATATGATTATATATCTAATACATTTTTAGATGTCGGTTCCAAAGAAAATGGTACTTGATATTTTACTTCCAAATGGTTGTGTTATTGTTGTAGAATGCGAAGAGTAAATGATCTTTCATTTTATTTATCTATTAAATAACGTATGTCTTTTTTTCTCGTATTTAGGGATATGACATTAGATAAAATAAAACAAAATACATTATCTTGTATTAAACGATTAACACCATTTAATGATTTAGTGCATGATCAAAAAAATTATTATTTAGAATCCGTAACATCAAGTGCACAAGTCATTCCATTATATGATGAACAAGTTAAATTGAACGAATTGAAGTGAGAATTGAATTAACATCGAGATCTATGATTTTCATTGTTGAAAAGAGATCAAATGATTCTTATTATTTAAAAGGGGTGGTCGAAAAATCATTAATTTTAACGCACTCTAGAAATGTCATAATACGAAAGTCCTTATCACCTAGATCACGAATCCGACATCCGTTTGTCTAGATCTGATCTCTTTCATGCCGTGTTTGCCATAGTGGGGTATCTGAGTCTCAGTAGGGTAGTTCCGTAAGGTTTCAAACACAAACAGATAAGTATTCAGAAAGTTTTCTTTTCCCTCAAACTTTGTAGAGTTTTTTTCGCTGAACATTTTCGTAAAAAGAAGTTTTGAATTCTATTGCGAAATGACGACGCTATCGTCAAAATAAAAAAACATAGTAAAATACGGTAAAATAGTTTAAATCCCATTTTTCCTTATAAAATATTGAAAATTATTGGAAAAAAAAGGATCAGTTCTAGACAAACGGATGTCAGATTCGTGATCTAGGTGACAAGGACTTTCGTATTATGACATTTCTAGAGTGAGTAAAAAGTGATGATTTTTTGACCACCCCCTTTGAGTTTGTTAATTTTTCTCTTTTTCTTTTTAGTCTCTTTTATGGATATTTGAGTTTACGTGAACATGATGCTTTTCTTGATGAAAAAGATGATTTAGCATTGATGAGTAAGAATAATTATTTAATAAATATTTTATTTTATACTCTATCAAAAGGTCTCCTGTTGGGTTTTCCACTCGATGATTTTGCTAGCACATTAGAACGTGAAGCATGTGAAGCTCGTTCATTATTAAATCGTTTAGCTGATATGCTTGTACAAGAATCACTAAAAGATTTAAAACGAGTTGGTTTACAAGAACAAAATACTACAAGTGATACCGATGAGAAACAAACAAGTCTAGTTAAATCGCAAGGTTTATTAAAACAATTCGGTCTCACTACAGGTATTTTTAATCAAATGATATATAAGAATAATCTATCAATTTAAAATATTTTTCTTAGAAATTCGCCCGGTATTTGTGCAAGTGCAAGAACGTCATTCAACTTCACCTATATGTTTTAATCTTTCGAGTAGTTTATATTCTTCACCAATTGATATTGTTGCTAATGTGATATCATCAAAATTATCAGCTGATAATCCAACAATGACAAATGAAGAAAGAATGAAAATAATCAAAGAATATAGATCACGTTATTGGTTACAAGCATTCGGTTGTGAAGAAAGACTTTTTGGTACTAAACCATTAATACAATCACGTGTAAGAATGATTATTTAAATAATTCACTAATTAAAATTTTGAGTCTTGTATTACTTACTAACTCAATTCTTATTATTGATGTATGTCAAAGAATATTAGAAAAGTGAGTTGTAGAAAGATCATTGATAGTATATATCCATCACTTTTATTCGATTAGATATTGAACTGCAGGTGAAAGATTATCGTGTATTCGAGAGTAATATATTCATTTGTCTTATTTGTGGATATACACGATACGAATCGAGTTTGGGATTATAAGAAAACATTATCTGTTCAAAACTGAGCTGAAAGTATGAATAAACTCCATTTAATTTTTAGCAGATCTATTCGAATTCACTATCGCTGTATCCGAGAAATTTTTATTGACCCCCTTTTAGATTTAGTTAGAGATATACGCGCAAATTCTAAGTCCTATTATACTGTAACAGGTTCCGATGATATTTTTGTATGAATATATCATATTTATTTAGTATATTCAAACATGTCTTCGTCTTGATAAACCATTATATTTTAAATTAATTAATATTGAAAATACAACTGGTAATGGTAAAAAACGATGTATAGCAATGATTCAAGAAGCAATTAAACAAGAAGAAGAACGAAAAAAACCACAAAGTATTCATAATTTATTGTTTTTTTATTCTGAAAGTTAATTTATGTTTTTCGAAGAATTTGGTGGACGAAGTAACGAAATTCGTCAAGTTGCAAATGAAAAAGATATTGCATGTAGATATTTTTCTTTGCGTATTCTATCTGGTCAATTGATTCCCGCCGGTGAATTTGATGAAGTATGTTATTTGATATAAGGTAAATATATCTTATTATAATTTTTAAGGTTAAAATTATTATTGGATTATATCATGGTACGCAACCATTATTCCCCGGTTCAATTATAGAAAGTCGAACCGTTGATACATTAAATCCTGATTGGCAACAAGAAATTAAATTTGATATCACATTAGTTAATTTACCACCTGCTAGTAAATTATGTTGTTCGATACATTTTCATCGACGACGAACATCATTATTAATCTCTGTAAAATCTCTTGTTTTATTAATTCACGTTAAAATTGAAAAAAAGAATTTTCTTTAGGATGAATGGATCTGTATTGGATGGGCAAATCTCAATGTATTTAATCATAATAGTTGTCTTATACAAGGAAGACAAAAAGTACGATTTTGGCCAACAGAAACAAATAATAGCAAAATTACGGCATCTATGTATGGCTTTAATGAAAGAGCTTTAGCAGGTTTGTTTTATTTGATCGAGATTGATTTATAAGAACACAGATCTTTCTTATTAGGTATAAATCCGGATCGATCTTATCCAACAATTGAACTAGAATTTCCGAGTTATAAATATCAAATAGCAACATTATCACCACGTAATGGTCTGGCTATGCAAGCACAAACAAAAAATGAGCAATTATTACGTTCATGTGCATTTCAAGATGATGTAATAATATAAAAATTGATTCCAATTGTTTTTTTCATATCTATATAATTTAGTTGGAAGAATCAGGAGAAAATGCTGTTCAATCTGATTTTTATGATTGGCTTCGTTCAATTGAATTTGAATTGACTGAACAAAGTCGAGCAGAACTTTGGGATAGACGGTAAGTTTTATTCTAATTTTTCTTACATAAATATCAATTTTGCTTTCATATAGTTATGAATGTATGCATGTACCAGAAGCATTACCTCGTTGGCTTAAATGTGTTAATTGGTCAAAACGTGATGATGTTCTTGAAGTAAACTATCAAAAAATATTTATTAAAAAAAAATAAACAAAAATTTTATTCTAGGCATATAAAGTTGTTGAAAATTGGCCAACAAAAAATATAGATCCATTAATGACAGCACTTGAACTACTTGATGTTGATTATCCTGATCCATTTGTTCGATTTTCAGCTGTTCGCTTATTGGATACACGTATTGATGATGATCGACTATTACCTGTTATATTACAAATTGTACAAGTAAATAATAATTGAAGATTTAATTTTCTTTCAAAAATTCTATTTAGGCTGTTAAAAATGAACCATACCATGATAGTGCTTTAGCTAGATTCTTACTTAAACGTTCATTATTAAATCAACAAGTTGGACATTTCTTCTACTGGCATTCAAGGTATAATTAATTCATCTTATGATTTATTTTCTTTAAAAAAATTTTAGAGCTGAATTCAAAAATCCTCAATATAAAGTACGATTTGGTCTTTTATTAGAAGCATATTTACGTTATTGTGGTGAATATGCTGAAGATCTTGGACGACAAGTACGAACTGTAGATAAACTAACATTTATTGCTGAAATTATACAAAATAGTACACATGATGAATTATACAATCAGGTTAGTTCTTAAATGAAAGAAAAAAAAAGATCTTAATATGAAAATATTTCTATTTAGAAAGGTTATCTTGCTCATTTACTCACAAGAGAAGGTTACACTCAAAATCTTCAATATTTTCGATCACCTGTTGATTATAATATTGAACTTGGTCAACTTGAGTAAGATTCGATTTTGATTAAAGATTCAATGAATAAATAAACGATGATCTATTATTCTATAGCTTAGAACATTGTCGAATAATGTCATCTGCTCGACGACCATTATGGTTACGTTGGACAAATGGATCTGAATATGCTGAACATTATTTTCCAACATTTGATTTGATTTTTAAAAATGGAGATGGTAGAATTTTCAAATATTTATTTAATTAAATTAAAAAAAATAATTTTTTTTAGATCTTCGACAAGATATGTTAGCATTACAATTTATTCAAATGATTGATATTATTTGGAAAGGTGATGGACTTGATCTAAGGTTTGAATTATTTTTATTTCTAAATCGAAATTAAAAATTTATTTATTTTTAGTCTGTTACCATACGGATGTTTAGCTACTGGTTATTGTTCAGGCTTAATTGAAGTTGTTAAAAATGCTAAAACAATTATGAATATACAAAGATTAGGTAGTTTAAAAGCACAATTTCAATTTGATGCTAGTGCACTTTATAAATGGATTGTAAAAAATAATCCCGGTGCTGATAAGTATGTTTATTGATTTAAAAAAAAGGAAACTTTAAATTCCGAAAATGAAATATTATTTAAGATTAAAAAGTGCAATTGATTTATTCACACGATCATGTGCTGGTTATTGTGTTATAACATATGTTCTTGGTGTTGCTGATCGTCATCCAGATAATATTATGGTTAACGAGCGCGGTCAAGTAAGTTAACATATTTTGATTAATTAATCTATTTTATTTATTTTTTCTTCCTAGTTATTTCATATTGATTTTGGACATATATTAGGAAATTTTAAAATGAAATATGGTATACGACGTGAACGTACACAATTAGTACTTATCGATGATTTTGTGCGAGTCATAACGAATAATAATACGGATAAAAATCCCATTGAGACACGCGAATTTAAAAAGTATGTATCAAATCTTGTAATCGATATTTTTATATATTATATCTGTTTTTTTTCTATTTTAGTTTTAAAAAATTATGTATCAAAGGTTATCGTATTCTTCGTCGTCAATATCGTCAAATTGTTTGTTTATTTAAATTAATGATGAATTGCGATTTAACTGAATTAAATAGTGAAGCTGATATGGCTTATCTTCGACAAACATTTGCTATTGATATTGGCGCTAATGAACAAGAAGCATGCGATCGATTTGAACAAGTTCTACTTGATTCATATAAATCAAGTGTAAAAACACGTGTCGATTGGGTTTTTCATGCACTTCATCATATTAAATCATAAACCCCAGTGGTCTGTAAATTTTTCTTGTAAAAGAAAGAAAAGCAAATTAAAACTAATTGCATTTTTTTTTAATCTTCAATTAATCGTGTAATATACATCTTTTCTTTTTAAATCATTTATTTTTGTAAACATAAATTCATAAAAAAACAAAAAAATAATTCGTGATAAAAAAAATAACAAAATATCTAGACGATGTTGTATGTGAAATGTTTTTTATATTTAATATTAGTGTAATGTCTTGTAAAATTTATTGCTCAATAATAATGATTTTTATGTCATTGTTTACAAAGAAAACATTTCATTCTATTATGTAAAAAAAACCATGTGAGAAATATGACTCATGTAATAGATTATATGGGTTTTTTCCTTTTCTTTCATATATTGAGAATAGTTTATTACTTTTCGTGTTATTTCTTTATAGAGATTTATAATAAGTACCCTGAGATAAATCAAACTTAAGATATCTTTGCGACCAGTATCCTAAAATGATTGCTTGTGATCCTGACCGATTGTAACAAATAAAGACAATTGAAATAGAACGTTCAGATATCATTGTATTTCTTTTTATCTCATATTTGCTTAATGATGAATCCCAAGAACTTCTATAGTATAACTTATTTTAGATAATTGATTGAAGAAAATACTATTAATAAACTAGAGTATCTTGTTAAATAACCATTCTATCAGTTACAATATATACGAAATTTGTTTTACAAAAACTAAAGAATTCGTTTGTTCACATGAGTTATAACGTTTTATTGAAGACTGTAGATTAAAATCTCATTTATATTTTATATTCATTTGTAGATCTATTCAAGTATAGCGTAATTAATATGTCGGTTTGCCAATATTATTTACGAGGTAATTGTCGATATGGAGATCGATGTCGATATCCACATGTAAATTCCAATGAATCACATATGCATAGACAAAATGGTAAGAATAATATATTTATTGACTTTATTAACTTTTTTTCATTAGCTCCTCAGTCTCATCCTCGTCCTCATCGCGCACCAATTAATCCAGTGTATAAGTATGTTGCACCATCAGTCGTAAGTTCTGTTTCAACAATTCAACACACTTATACCAAGACAACTTGTACTCTATGCTTACCAGGCCAATAAACGTAATAATGTCACAAATCCAGCAACATCTGCAACTCTTAAATGGCTTACTGAAAATTATACAGATAGAATGAAAGCATTCGATATCTTGTAAGTAAATTTGATTTGAATTATCTCATATATAATTTATCTTCTTAGAGTGCAAATGCAAACTGAAGCGAAAGTATGGCTTAAAACAGGTCTTTGGCGATTTACATCAAGATCACTTTTTCCTGGTGGACATCCTTTAGAACGTAAAGATTTTTGTTTTTTTGATTTTTTTTTTCTTCAATAATAAATTCTTTTTAGATTGGACGGATCATTCATTTGAAGAAATGAAATGGGCACATCGATGCATGAGTAATACTGGCGAAGAACATAAATATGTTTGTGTGGAAATGAATTATCTTCAAAGTGATATTTAAATTATTTTTAGAAAAAAGCATATTCCGATTATTGGGAAAATACGCAACGTGAACTTATTGGTTTATCAGAACTTCGTATTGATACTATTAAACTACTTGTATGTATATATACATATGACATAGAGTTGTTTTTATTTATTTGTAAAATTTCTTTTTCTTTCATATTTTAGAAAGATCATATTGCAGAATATGTTGCAAGTAATCATAAACCATCGACAACATTACCAAGTGATATTGATATGAAAGATGATAATCATATTATAACAGCAAATTCCAGTGTAGAATTAACAAATTATACAGCAGATGATCAACTTCTTGCAGATGAACGTGCTGCTTTTGAAAGTGATACATTTGAATTAGGACATATACCTGTTCATGCTCCTTCACAACAATTTTGTTAAAATTTTTTATTTAATAAAGAACGAAAATTTTCCTCTATTAATCATCAATTCGGTATTTTATATTTTGCAAAAAAGAGAGAATTCAGATATGTTTGATAATAAAACACGTTTATATACTACAACAGACTTGTTATTTATTTTGTTCTTTCTTACTTTTGCTTTTATCGATTCTCCTTTGTCAACAACACCTCAACATATTTTAATAATTTCTTACTCTCTAACAATAACAATTGACACACTAGAGAAAGAAATTTCATCGTTTGAGAAGTATTTAATCTGTTGAATTTATTAGTTTAATTTATTTGATATAAACATTAAGTTTATGAATAGATGTCGTTTGATTCTCAAAAATAACTATAATATCTTCTATAATAGTTCGTTTCAGGATTATAGTCATTAGTGATGGGCAACACGTTTACTTCGTGTACAAATCGTAGAAGAACTGTGGAAAATAGGACAAATGTACCGTCTAAAAAGTATACTTTTATTTATTGATAAAATTCAATACAAAAATCATATTTATTGTAGTAATTCTAAACATGCAATTAATTCAAATATAACATATAGTCCTGATGAACCAGATTTACTTGAATGTTTATTAATGGATTACAATGATAATGATTTAATTAATCGTCTTCTTGGTTGTGCATATGGGCAAGCTTTAGGTGATGCTTATGGTCTATCGACTGAATTTGAAAAACGCACAACAGTTGCAAGTAATTATCCAGATCGTTCAAAAATTATTCCTTTTCCAGATTATAAATTAACTGGACATTCTAGTCGATGGAAGCGTGGCGACTGGACTGATGATACAGATCAATGGATATTAATTTTAGAGACATTAATCGGAAGAAATGGTGATGAGAGAATATTTGTTAAGAAATTAAAGAGATGGATTGAGTATGGTTTTTCAGAATTGAATGATTCTGCAGGAATGGGATTAGGCGCTAATATAGAACAAGTAAGTTAGTGTTGTCTAATACTTTTAATTTAAATGAGACAAGAGAATTTAGCTATTGACTGTTATGTATTTTAGGTTGTTTTCAGTCATGGATATCTTCGTAATCCAATTGAGACTAGTAGAATGATATGGGAACGTGGAAATCGACAAGCAGCACCGAATGGAGCTGTTATGCGTTGTTCAGCCGTAGCATTTGTTCACTTCAATGATTTAGAAAAAGTAACTATGCAGAAAATGAGAACGTTTTCACATTATACAATGAATAATGAAATATTTTTTCATAGGTTAAATCAACAACAACATCAATGTGTAAAACGACTCATTTTGATCCTCGTTGTATTGCTTCATGTTTAGCTGTATGTTTAGTTATTGCTTATCTTTTAAGAAAGAAAATGAATGATGATAATAATATTGAAGTACTTATTACAAGTATTCAAAATGAAACAATTCAGATACTTGGAGACAGTTTTTCTCAAGAACAATGTGAATCATTTTTATGGCATACAGACCGAGCACGTACATTAGAAGAACTAAAGCTTGATGATCCACGATCTATTGGTTATACATATAAATGTTTAGCATCGGGATTTTATGGTTTAAGATCGACACGTTCATTTCAAGAGACATTAAATGATCTGATTCGATATGGTGGTGATGCAGATACTAATGGAGCTGTATGTGGAACGATGTATGGAGCAAGATATGGTTATAAAGCATTACCTAGTGAATGGTTAAGAGCATTGCCATATAAAAAATGGTTCGATAAAAAATTAATTCAATGTTTCGGACAAATGAATTTAATTGATAGAAAATTTATACATACAAAATTTTGAGTTTCAAAACAAATAATCTTTATTTTTCATTTATATTATATTGAAAATTTTAAATACAGTCAAGAATCTTTCTAAATTATATATAAAGTTCTCCGAAGCGTGTAAACTTTTGATCTCTCCACTAATAACAATGGATAAGTAAATAATTCTCACTTTCTAAAACAATTATTGCTTTAGGTATATTATAGCAAGATCAAGATGATTTTGCAAGGAAAAAATTGTAAATTGAAATTCTAGTATTTCATTTTCTATAATATACCTTTATATAGGTCAAAATTCTATTAAATGAACTGTTACTTAAGAAGAAAGAGCTAAGAATACAATTAATTTTAGACTTTATCAAATCTCAATATGTCTCATCTGACGAAGATGGTCTTATTTGTGAAGTTTAAAGTATTTGCAAGAATTTCCCGTTTGCTAAATCAATGAAAAAAAAATTGGTAACAATAGATATTATGATCCTAGTACAAAGTCATCGCTATTATATCATCAAGAGAAATTTCTACTACATTAAGAATATATAAATATGCAAATAATTGAAGGAAAAAGTTAAAAAGTATAATATTCTATTTTATACGATAAATTAAAGATTCAAAAATGGCAAACGATTCATTTTTTCTTTTTTATTACAAAATTACCTTTTTTTTCGAGGTATAACTCATAATAATCGAAGGTAAAAGTAATCGAAACAAAACAAAAGAAGAGACGCCACGTTGATACAATATAACGACGTTTTTTTTCTTCACACTAAATTATTGAGCCATGTGCGTGCATGCATATATTCTGTTGTTACTAAATCGAAATAATATTGTTGTTTTTCGCATCGTTTCATTCATTAATAATATGCGTAATATTCAAATAAAAAAAAAGATTTGTCAATGAAATGATTTCTTGGTAAATCGGTGAAAATTAATCTTCACATGAAATAAGGTAAATATTGAAGTGTTAGTAGTTGCATTTACTGAGAATAAATTATTTTTTTTATATATTTATTAGTTAAATTTATAATAAAGAGATATTTTCTTATTTTTAGTGTTGATTCAAGTCAAACAAAAAAGTGAACGATAATGTCTATCAGAAGAGCGAAAAAAGTTGAAATAATTTAAAGAAAATACATATCATTGGTAGAAACATTTAATAACTATTGAATATTTTTATACAAAGATAAGTGGTTATTGAATTGTTGTGAAACTTTAATTTATAATTTTCTTCAGTTTTTCATTTCTGTTATTATCTATTATATTCGTTTTTTCGAAAAAAAAGTAGCAGTGAATTAAATTCTTATAGATAACTTTTTATTCACATAATGACATTTGCTGCTAATGAAAAACATTTCGATAGTCGTTGAGAACCTAATAAAATTATCTTTGAATTGTCTTAAAGTATTTACAAATAGATTTAATCGAATGATCTGACAATTTACAATAGTTCTTGAAATGCAGTTGCTTTTCCTACCCTTTGGTTATAAAAATGGTCCTCAACAAAATTACATTTATCTAGTTTGAAACTACGTCATTTTGACTTGTTTTTTTGTGTATCTGTATCTCATCACAAATCTAATAGGTGAGAAAAATATCCATACTTAAGAAAAGAAAGAAAAATCAAAATCGTACTGTGACAACGTCAATATATTATCACTTCGAGGTAGCCAATATTATTCTTTTTTTCTTAATCGAAATTAAAGAGATAATTGTATACATTATATATGCGCATCAAATTATATCATACAATTATAAATATTATTCATAAAATATATATGACCATAATGTTGTTTTGACGTTATTTATTTCGTTGATAAAATATTTTATATAAATATTTCAGTAATATAATGGCCTAATATGTATAAAAAAAAGTACGCATCAAAAAATAATCTTATACTTTGGTGACAATAAATATTCAGACGAATAAGTAAACGATACACATATTCTAAATTCAACTAAGGGTAAATATGATCCTTTTTTTAAAATTTTTATTTATGTTTAAAACTGAAATAAAAAATATTCGTCAAAGCATTTGAGAATAATTAACTATTACTATTTATGCAGTAATACGTTTTATTTTTATAGGAAATAGATTTTTATTTCGTTGTAGTTGCACATATTCTAGATTAAAATTTTTACATCAATTAATCCATTCTTTTAAAAAATTTCTTACTTGTTAAGAGTTTGCAGATTTTCTACATTCAAAGGACACAATCAACAATGCAAAAGGTAATTGATAGAAAATTTGTTCTAAAAACTGTCTTTTGTTAAAAATGATTATTTTATTGTAGATAAATGAAAATTCTATGGATAATGGTGTTGTCAGGGTTAGGCAATCATTTTCTGAGCAAAATATTCATGTCGATAATGCACAACATGAGAGCTCAATACAAAATCGGTCTAATGCAGCAGAATCTGCCGATGTTACTAAGAAAATGAAGAGGTCACCAATGGCTCCAATACCTTTGTATGTCATTTTCTTTTCACCTGAAGCATCATAATATATATAGAATGTATTTTTATTAGGAAAAACTCGTGTTGGTCAAGACATCGAACTGTAACAGCTGCAGGTGCATTTGCTCTCTTCACAATCCTGGCAATGGTTACAAGTATACTAATAGTCTGTCTGACTTCTCCAAAAGCAACAGGTATGTTCTAATTTTTCTTCATATACTAACTACATATATGATATAAATTTATTTTGATTTATTCATTTTTAGTAATAGTATGATAAAATAAAAAATAGAACTAGTGTATTTCTTTGAGGAAGAGGAATTTTCACCATTGTATTGAATTTGCAGCGAAGAATAGTCTGCAAAAGAGATCATGTAATTAAGAAGAAACGTGGCTTAAACAGATTATTTGAAGCATTAATATCATTTCTTCTTTCTTCGAAACAACGCGTTTTTTTAAAACAATTCTACAGTAAATGGAAGAAGCTGAATAAATATACATATCATCTACTTAGTATTTCAGTGCTCGAAAACTAAATGAGATTCTATGAATTTAATAAAAATAATTACATTATTTATCTTTTTTATTTAGTACAACAGTGTGAACTGAAGTTTATACAAACTCCTTTAAACCCGGTGGAATATAGTTTTGGGCCTCGATCTGTTGCCGTTGGGAATTTCAATGATGACGAATTGTTAGATATCGTTGTTGCCAATAGTATCGTTAATAGTATATCTGTATTCCTCGGATATAATAATGGTGCTTTTGCAAGTAACATGACGTATTCGACTGGTTTATATTCTGCTCCATATATGGTAGCGATCGGCGATTTTAACAACGATCATCACACGGATATTGCTGTCGCATATTTCGGAACTAATAGCATCGGTATATTTCTTGGATTTGGAAACGGTTCTTTTATCAATACAACAGTAATCTCAACTGGTTCATCTCGTCCAGTATGGATACATATAGCTGATCTCGATAATGACAGATCGCTCGATATCGTTACCGCTAATTATGGAACTGATAGTATTAGTATATTTTATGGATATGGAGATGGACGTTTCGCATATTCGGTGACAATTTCAACTGGCTATGACTCTTCACCATTCTCAGTCATCAGTGCAGATTTTAATAATGATAATTATTTAGATCTTGCTATTGCCAATTATGGTACAAATAATATAGCTATATTTATTGCAAATGGCAACAGAACCTTCTCACATCAACAAATATTTTCTACTGGTATTAATTCACATCCATATTCACTCGTCGTTGCTGATTTTAATGATGACAGTTTATTAGATATTGCTGTCGCTAATCATGGAACAAACAATGTCGGTGTACTTCTAGGTAACACCAACGGAATTTTTACTAGTCAAACAACATATTCGCTTAATACTTCTTCACCATATTCTATTGGTCTTGGCGATTTCAATAAAGATAATCGACTTGATTTAGTCGTCAGTAATCAAGGTACTAATAACATAGGTGTATTACTGGGACTTGGAAATGGCAATTTCTCTGAACCAACAATAAATTCAATCGGTTCTTCTTCTTCAATCTCGCTTGCTGTAACTAATTTTAATAACGACAACCTACTAGATATTATCATCATCAGCAATGATACTGGCAGTATAGAAATTCTTTTTGGTTATGATGAAGGCTTTCAACAACAAACTACGTATTCAACTGGCGCTAACCCATCTTCTGTAGCTGTTGGTGATTTCAACAAAGACAGTCTACTAGATATCGTCGTTACTAATTTTGGTGACAGCACAGTAAGTATATATCTCGGATATGGTAATGGTTCTTTTGCAAACCAAACTATCTATTCAACTGGCTCTACTCCATTTTCTGTAGCTGTTGGTGATTTCAATAATGACACTCGACTAGATATCGTCGCCACTAATTTATGGGGCAACACTATAAGTGTACTTCTCGGATATGACAATGGTTCGTTTGCAAATAAAACTACGTATTCAACTGGCAGTCATCCATCTTCTGTAGCTGTTGGTGATTTCAACAATGACACTCTACTGGATATCGTCGTTGCTAATGCTTGGGACAATACAGTAAGTGTACTTCTCGGATATGACAATGGTTCATTTGCAAATCAAACTACGTATTCAACTGGCAGTTATCCATCTTCTGTAGCTGTTGGTGATATCAACAATGACAGTCTACTGGATATCGTCGTTGCAAATCAGAATGGCAACACTATAAGTGTACTTCTCGGATATGGCAATGGTTCTTTTGCAAAGCAAACTACGTATTCAACTGGTATTGGTTCACAATCTGTAGTTGTTGGTGATTTCAACAATGACACTCTACTGGATATCGTCGTTGCCAATTCGAACGAGAACACTATAAGTGTGCTTCTCGGATATGGCAATGGTTCTCTTACAAATCAAACTACGTATCCAACTGGCTCTGATCCACAAGCTGTAGCTGTTGGTGATTTCAACAAAGACACTCTACTGGATATTGTCGTTGCTAATAACTATGACAACACTGTAAGTGTACTTCTCGGATATGGCAATGGTTCTTTTGCAAATCAAATGAAATATGTCACTGGCTATTTACCATTTTCTGTAGCTGTTGGTGATTTTAACAACGACTTTTGGCTAGATATTGTGGTTGCAAATGAGAATGACAACACTGTAAGTGTCTTCCTTCATTATAACAGAGCAGCTTTAAGTAATGAAATAACATTTGCATCTGGTGATGGTTCTCGCCTGCGATACGTTGCTGTCGATGATTTTAACAATGATACGATGTTAGATCTTGTCGTCGTTAATTATGGCACTAATGATATAGGTGTACTTCTTGGAAATGGTAGTGAATTATTTTTAGAACAGACAACGTTTCCAACAGGCTCAGATCCATATTCACTTGCCATAGGTGATTTTAATAAAGATGGTCAACATGATTTTGCTGTAGCTAACTATGGTAGTAAAAGTATTGATATGTTTGTTGGAAATGGAAAGGGAACATTTACACATCAATTAACTTATGGATCTAGCTTGACTTTCGCTCCTGTAGCTGTTACTGCTGGTGATTTCAACAATGATAGACAATCGGAAATTATTGTCGCATATGACAATACTGATAATATAGATATATTTGTTACAGTTGATACTGGCGCTTTTAAGAATCAACTTACGTATTCAGCGGGCTCAAATTCCGCTTCCGTAGCAGTTGGTGACTTCAACAATGACACTCTACTAGATATCGTTATAGTTAATCTAGACAACACAGTGAGTGTACTTCTCGGATATGGTAATGGTTCTTTTGCAAACCAAACTATCTATTCAACTGGCTTTGGGCCACAATCTTTAGCTGTTGGTGATTTCAACAATGACACTTTACTAGATATCGTTGTTGTTAATTATTATGATGGCACTGTAGGTGTACTTCTCGGATATGGCAATGGTTCCTTTGCAAATCAAACTATCTATTCAACTGGCTCTTGGCCACAATCTTTAGCTGTTGGTGATTTCAACAATGACACTCTACTGGATATCGTCGTT